TGGGGCCTGTGAGTTTCAACGGCAGAGCCAGGACCAGAAGCCAGCTCCTGGGACTCATGTCTCCCAGGGAGTCACAGGGCCGGCTCTGGTCCCCTCGCCCCTCTCAGGCACAGCCCACTGTCTACATTTCACCCCTGCCCCCATCTCCAGGGCCCCAGAGCTCCTTCTGGATGGATGGGTGGGCAGGCTTTGCAAGTTACCATCTACTCTGCCACCCTGGAGGCAAAGACAGCAGAGACTGTGGTGGTAGCAGTGGGAGGTTGGGGACCACAGGCCCTGCTCAGGCAATTCCAGCTCTGATTTTTGGGACTGTGGGCTGTGCCACGTCTGAGGCCGCGGAGCGCACCCCAGGGCTGAGGAGGAGATGCATACAGGCTGACGTCGTGTTCCTGTGCGGAAGGGCTTCCAGCTGCAGCCCAGCTGTGAGCAGAGCAGCCATTCCTGGCTCCCAGAGGCCGGGGCTTGCCGTGCCCTCCCACAGATGTTTCTGGTGCCCAAAGGATGACCCCTTGCCACATCCCCTTCCTGGGGTGGGGTGAGAAGGGGGTTAGTGTGAGGCGAGGCATGCCTTCACTCTTCAAACTTCCCTTCCATAGCGTGCAGGGGAGGGTGCAGGCTGGGTGACATGTCTGTGAGGGGTGGGCAGGGTGCCCTGCAGGAGAACCAGGCTGTGCATGTCCTGGGCCTTGTCCCCCGGCCTGTGGCCTGTACCCTGACCCCACACACTGGAGAACCTAGAGGAGACCCTCTTTAAGTTCCCTTCCTCCTGAGCACAAATCTCCCATACATCTTCTGTTAACAGGTCACTCATACCCTCAGACCTTCAGTGGCTCCCCAGTGCTGGAGCCATGGTGGGCAACCCTGGCTGTAGTCTCCCGGAGAGCTTTTGACAATCCCGATACCCAGGCCACGCCCTGCTGAGGTTCTCATTGGATTGTTCTGGAGGGGGCCAGGCATCTGCATGTTAAAGTTCCTCACGTATCTCATTGGCAGCAAGGTTGTGAACCGCTGACCTGGGGATAAACTTTCTGGGTGACACAGGCGGCTTCCATAATGGACGCAGCCTAGCTCCCCACCCTGTCCCTGCTCATCCTCCCTCCAGCCAGGCCAGCCCCTGTCAGCCCCCACACTCCAGGCATCGGCCTCACCTCTGGTGAGGGGTGTTTCCCCCATCTGGTGCACATTCTGTCTGTGTAAATCCACCAGGCCCTCGCAGCCCAGCGATGCTCCCACACTCTCTAGGAAACCTCTTTAATTGGCTTCGCTGTTGCTCTCGCCGCAGCACGTGGCCTGGTGCCATTTTCCATGAAGATGCTCAGGCTTGCTTGCTTAAAACATCCGTGCTCCACAGTCTCCTGCACCCACACACCCTGTCTCTCTCCCGAGCCGCTTCCTCGCTTGCTGCTTCTCAGCCAGGTGGCCTCTCTCTGTTACCTGTCCCCAGCCTGGGAGAGGGTGAGGGCTGGGGGTCTGAGGGCTGTGTGTGTACTCCTTTCGCTTTTGGAAGTCTCTTGGGGGCCTGCTGGGCTCAGAGGCCAAGATGGGGTTTCTCCCCTACAGGGCTGGAGGATGAACTCACCCACTCAGTAGGCCCAGTGCCGGGGTGGGTGAGAGGAGGATTGATGTGTGTCCACATGGCAGAGCCCCAAGAACGTAGCCTCGATGACCCCTGCCATCAGCCCTCTCCCAAGGACACTGGTCAGAGCCCTCGTCCCCTCCCTGAGGGAGCCCTGAGGCCCGCAGAGAGAGGAGTGAAGCCTTTCCTTTGGTGCTTGGAGGATTGGGTGTTGGTAGGAGGTGGCAGTAAGGATCCTTCCGCCCTGGGCATCGGTCCTGGGGGTGAGGTCCTGCAGGAGGGCCTCGGTGCGCTTTGGGCACCATGGAGGGTATCTGCAATGAGCTCTCCTGCTGTCCTCGTTCACCCCAGAATGGGACAGCAGTTGTGATTCTGTGGCAAGGAGAGGGCGGCTCAGGGAGTCCAGGAGGCCTGCCGCACCTCTCAGGTAGAAGTGGGCTCCTGACCCACGACCCCAGCAGTGCTCCGTTGCTTGTCCTGTAACCCAGCTGGGGGCCACGCCTTCAGCTCTGAGGCTGGGTCACCCTGCCCTGGCACTCAGGGCAGCAGGGTGGGATGTTTGTTTGTTGGGGGGCGCAGATCCCCCCACACTGACCCCACCCTGTTCCATCCTCCAGGCGAAGGCAGCTAAAGAGGCACAGGAAATGCGGAGGCTGCAGCTGCGGAGCCTGCAGTACCTGGAGCGCTATGTCTGCCTGATTCTCTTCAACGCGTACCTCCACCTGGAGAAGGCCGGCTCCTGGCAGAGGCCCTTCAGCACCTGGATGCGGGAGGTGAGGGGAGGCTGAGGCCGAGAGGGGCCGGGGCAATGGCTCCCACAGATGGAGCTGCGTCACAGCCACTCAGGGTCTGTACATGGCCTGCGGGGATCTCGTGACAGGCGGGAAGAGCCCTCATCTTCCATTCTGCAGGAGGCTTCCGTTTGGCCAAGAGTTTGTCTAATCTGACTTTGGGTCCGCAGCAGCTGGTCTGTGCCTGGCAGGCAGTTGATGAGTTTGGCGAATGAACGAATGAATGAGGAGGCGGGAGGGGATGCAGTGGTGGGGGACGGAGCAGGGCAGCCTCTGGGACTGGGACCCTGTAGCACGCATCACTACAGCAACCCAAGCGTGGATGATGGCTCTGGGCCCACCTGGGCACTTTATGCGCTCAACTGTGGTCCACCCACACCTGTGCTATGTGAGGGGCTAGGGTGAGGCCGTGGTGGCCGTGCCCTGTTCTCCCTCCAGCCATGATCTTGAACCAGTGAGCCAAGCCCTCTGCAGCTGCTGGCCTCAGCACTAACATGGAGGTAATGTGGACGCTGTTGGTGCCAGCCCTGAAGGCTTCGATGGGGACTCTGGGGAGACATGCAGTGCCGTCTGCTGGAGCCTGTGCTGGTCAGGTCTAGCACAGTGTGATTGTTGCTCTCCCATTTTACAGAGGTGGAGACTGAGCACAGAGAGAGTGGGTGACTTGTTCAAGCTTGGCATGAGGGCTAAGACAACAGCCTCACTGTCTGCCCTCCTGGCTTTTCTTCTGCTCAGCTGTTTTAGAGGCAGAGCTGCCACCACGGCACCTCTAGGTCAGAAGAGAGGCCTTCTTCCCTCTTTGGCAAAGCAGCCTATAATTACTCCCCTGCCAGGAAGCTGGCTCCTCCAGACGTCACCAGCAGGTCCTGGCAGTTCTAATCTGGACTGGGGGCCAGAATTAGCTCCTGGGAAGTGGGTGGGTGGAGAGCAGGGGCCGGTGACCCGGCCAGAGTGGACACAGGAAGGGTACAGGGGCTGAGGCAGGTGTGAGGTGGACGCAGAGCTGTGAAGGAGCGGAGGCATAGTAGGGCTGCCGAGGGCAGGCTTTGAGGGTGGCCTCAGGACGTCAGGTGGCAAGGTATTTGAAATGTCCTGGTGCATGTGATGCGTGTTGAGTCAGGAGGCCTGGTGGGGTCACACCAAGGCCATGTCGGAGCCACCCTCTTGAGCAGGCCTGGGCTCAGCTTCCTCTTGGAGCCCCTGGGGAAGGGTAGAGGTGGAAGGGGACGAGGACACTTCCTGCTTGGGTTCTGCCTGGAGAGTGGAAGTTGGGGGATCCCAGGGCTGGGAGGAAGCTTGATCACCTCCCCAGTTGAACCCCCTGTTGGGGACATCAAGGAAAGAGGGTTGCTGGTCTAGGCAAAGTGTGGGTTCCAGTTTCAGGGGACCTCAGCCCCTCTCTCCTGTGGGTGAGTGGTGGGTGGCCCCAGAGCCAGAGAGGGATGGACCCATCCCTTTGTTCTAAGAGGAGGTTGCACCCCCCACCCCATGCCCAGGATGGTAGAGAGACAAGGGGCCTCGTTGTGGGATGGTTTGAGTCTGGCGCCAGGGTCTGGGCTGCCGGGCAGCAGGGCTGAGTGTCCAGGGGGGCCCCATTCAGCCCACCCGCGGTGGAGGCCGTAGCCTTGCCTGGCTCTGCATCCATGCCCTCCTCTAGCCCTCCCTGCAGGCCCCACTCCTGGGCGTCCCCACGGGATCATCCAGCTGCACAGGGCCCAGCGTGTGCCTGGCCTCCCTCGCTGCCCTCTGCATGGAGCACTCACTGTCTGCCTGGTGCTTTCTGTGCATGTGAAGCCCTCCTCCAGGCTGTCCTATGAGGTGGAGTCTTTTCCTTATGAGGAAACTGAGGCTCAGAGAAGTTAACAGAAGTCAAAAGTGCAAACTCGTTCAGGTCACCAAGTTCACAGGCCACAGACTCAGCTTCAGAACTCAGTGGCCTGAGTGGCTCCCCTGATACACTGCCCCTGCCTCTGCTCTCCTCCCAGGTGGCATCGAAGGCTGGCATCTACGAGATCCTCAACCAGCTGGGCTTCCCTGAGCTGGAGAGTGGGGAGGACCAGCCCTTCTCCAGGCTGCGCTACAGGTGGCAGGAGCAGAGCTGCAGCCTTGAGCCCTCCACCCCTGAGGACTTGCTGTAGGGGACCTTACTGCCTGTCTGCCACCCGCAGGGCCCCACACAGGCCTGGGGTATCTGAGGTGCTCTTGGCTGGGAGTGGTCCTGGGGGATGCTGGCCTTGAGGAAATGATTCCTCCGCTTCCTGGAGAAACTGGGTGGAGTTGGGAGCCTTTTTGAAAAGAGCTTTTTAGAGGACAAGGAGACAGCACAGTCATCCCTTGCAAACCACGGAGGTGTGTGTGTGGCTGGCCTCCAGGGAGGCTCCGCTGTGTGCACCTTGCAGACAGGCTGGCGATCGGCCTCCAAGGAGCTCGCTCCCACAGTTGCCAAACACTGTGGATCTCTCTGTCCTCTTCTCCCTGCTCTCAGATTGGCCGGGCGGCCCCTGGCACAGAGCAGATCCGGTCACTGGTAGCTCCCCATGTCCTTGCTCCTGCTGCTCTGCCGGTGCTGCTCCCCTTCTTGCTGCCCGAGCACTGCCCTCAGGCCTCTGGCAGCCCGAGGGTGGAGGGGACAGTGTTCTGGATGGATCTATTATGTGGAAGCCAGCTTCACTCAGTTTTCTGGACTCATGTCCCTGTCTCCAACCCAGTGGACTTCAGGAAGGACAACCTACCTGGCCTGGTGGGGCTGGCAGGAGGGTGGAGGTTTCTCGAGGAGCTGGAAGCCTCAGGGAGCCCCTCTCAGGAGGAGGAAAGAGCTTCCAGAAGGTGGACGCAGCACAGTGAAAGAGGCCCGCTCCACTTGCCTGGGAACCTGGGCAGGAGGCACAGAGGAAGCCAAGGCCTGGAGCTGCAGGACCACAGCACTTCTCCCTGTCCTGGCAGCCCAGGAATGGCCTGGTGCCCCCACCTGCTGCAGCAGGAGTCCCAAGAAGTGCTGGCCAAGGGCGGTTGCTGGGGTGGTCCTCATGGACAGTGAGGTGTGCAAGGGTGCACTGAGGGTGGGGGAGGGAATTACCTGGGCTCCAGGCCGTCCTTACTGAGCATCTTTGAGCTGCCTCCCTGTGGGAGCAGAAAAGGCCAGACCCTGCTGAGTTAGAGGCCCCTGGGATCCACTCTGTCCACACAGCAGGAAGGCTTCTGGGCACGGGCAGCAGAGAAGTGCCATGGTTGAGTTGAGCCTTGCAGCTCTTCCAGCTGGGGACTGGCGCTTGCTGAAACCCAGGAGCTGAGCAGTGAGGAGGCTGTCCGCCTTGCCTGGCTCACTGGGGCCAGGAAAGCCTGTCTTTGGTTAGGCTCATGCACTTCCGCAGGGAAAGAAACAAAAAGAATGTGTCATTGTCATGATATTTGAAAAGGGGAGGAGGCCGAAGCTGTTCACATTTACCCAGTATTGGAAAATATTTGACCCCCTTGGCTGAATTCTTTTGCAGAACTACTGTATGTCTGTTCACTACCTTTTCAGGTTTATTGTTGTGATTTTTGCATGAATTAAAATGTTTTAAGTTCTTTGCAGACAAGGTCTAGATACGAAGTCAGAGATGGGATTGAATGGGGAGGGATTCTTTGTGTTCTTATGTTTGGCTCTGACTTTCAGCTGTGCTGGGACCACTGGCAGATCACATCACCTGTCTGCCCCAGTTTCCCCATCTGTCAAATGGGAGACTAATACTTGCCTACCTACCTCACAGAGGTGTTGTGAGGATTCATTCGTGATTTTTTTTTTTTTTTTTGTACAGAGCTTTTAAGCATTAAAAAAACAGCTAAATGTGAGTACACCTGGCTACTAATTCATCTTCAGTGTCAGACAGACGTTGTAGAACTGGTATGACTGGCTGGGGTCCCTGCCCCTTCAGAGTAAGGTTGGGCCAGCAGAATGAGTTGAGAGCACCTGTCCTCGGTACTTCCAGCTCTAGAGCAGGTGGGTTTTTGCAGACACGCATCCCTGGTTGTGCCTCACGCTTTTATCCTGGATGCCCGGGGCTGTCAGGCTGAGCTCCTCGTGGAAGAAAGCAACAGAACCAGCAAATTCTCACTAACGTATGAAGGACTGATGCATCTAGGGAAGCGGTACGGAGCAAAGTGGAATTGGGGGCCTGTGAGGGAGAGTGGATCTCAGCCTCCACTGTCTCCCCGGACCCCGTGGGTCCCACCTGACCCCTTCAGGCCCCTGGTTGACTGAGCACACCTCACCACTGGTTGAGATGCTGGCATTTAAAGAGGCAGTGGGGGAGGGTAGGGTAGAGAGAACACTGACTCCAGGCCTCTCCCCCAGCGCTCGCAGGGTTAGGGGAACAAGGTTGTAGTTCTGAGGTCAGCTGGGTGGGCGGAATGGAACCCAGAGCCCCCGCTGCCCCTAGGGTTGGTGTTCTCCCCAGACTAGGAGAGAAGGCCCCCGGGGATTCTTTCCCAGCCCAGCAGGGTATGGAAGTTGTCTTCTGTGGGTGCAAGAATGCGCTGCGTGGCTTCTGGACACGAGTGTAGAGCTGTATCCACTGGGGTGGGGCTGACTCTGCAGTTCTCTCCCTGGGATGGGGGAGGGGCTGGGTAAGTCAGTTTTAGCTGACTTAGCCCAGTCTTTCTCCAAGCTCTGTGGGTGCTCAGAACAAGTCCCCCATTGACGTACACATATGGTCACTGTCATGTGGCATCCTCACCGCTTCCAGGACTTTGGACATCCCTCACCCCACCCCCACCGCCATTTCAAGTGTCCAGGCTGTGCGGCATCAGGTGGGATGAGACCCTGAGTCTGTGCCTACTTTCAACCAAGGATCTGCCCTGGTCCCTGGTTGAGCCTCCACCCTGTCTTCCCTGCTGCCCTGGTGGAGACCCTGTACCCCAGGCTAGCAGCCTTGATATGCTTGGCTCCCACTCCCTTAAGATGTGTTCTTTCTTTGGAGCTCCTCAGTCTTTTCAGGGTCCTGTCACACCAGTTTGCCCAGACTAGGCAGGCCTCAGCTGGGTCCACCCGGGACGCACCCCCCTGAGCATGGTGATGAGTGCGCTTGGTGTTCTCTGTGTAAGGGGACACGTGCAGTGGGGAGGTATGTGCATATGGGCAGTGGGCAGTGATGCAGCAGATCATGGCAAAGTTGGGCATCTACATAGACCAGGCACCATGCCAGGCACCAGGAAGCTGTGGACAGGGACAGCCTGTCTGCCAGGAACTTGTGGCATTGCAGGGACGAGAGAGAATGAACAAGTCATTTCCACCAGGTGTCATGAGAGCTAGGGCAGGGCAGGGTTTGGAGGACAGTGGTGGTGTGATAGGTCAGAACCAGCCAGGACCCCACTTCGATTGCTCTCTTCTGGAGCTTCTAGAACAAGGAACCAGCGATGTTGTGGACCCAGGGGGAGCCAGGGGGCCTGTCGTGTCTGGGGTGGGACCACCACACCCTGGAAACCATGTAGCACTGATGGTCTGAGCTCTTCTCAATGTCCGTGCCCTCCCTCCCATCCTTTAGCCAGACTTCAGATCTGGCCAGATCCTGAGAAAGGGGCCCATCCGCAAAGGGCTCTTGCTTTCTCTGCTTGTCACAAGAACTGGTTTTGGATGAGCAGGAAGAATGAAGCCGCCCACCGGCCATCGCCTGCCTGGTCCTTTCCTGTGGTGTTCAGTACAGAAACCCCAAACTTTATCTGCAGAACTGGCACACATGTATTGTAACTGGTTTTCTCTTACAAAAAGCTGTTCATCTTTCATTCACACAAGTACAGCGTAACCATCACTAGTTGTGAAAATTCAGCCAGTATCTTTATCCCTCTCCCTGTTCTCACTCCCACTCCCTGGGTTCTGGTTTTCAAAGGTATCGTTGTGACCCATGCAGCCCTGTGGGTGACTGGGCATTTCTCTTCTCTGTGCTATCCCTGGCTGTGTAGCATTGCCCCATCTGCTTCTCTGACCACCTAATACTGTGTGCTACACACACCCCTTTCTGCTCAGCCAGCAAGAGTGGTTTCAGCATCCACCCACACAGTGCAGGAGTTCAAAAGAACTTGGGTAAATCACACCGCCTCTCTGAGACACAATGTCCTCAACTGTAAGTGGGATTAAAATACTTATTTTGGGCCGGGTGTGATCACTCATGCCTGTAATCCCAGCACTTTGGGAGGCTGAGGCGGGCGGATCACCTGAGGTCAGGAGTTTGAGATCAGCATGGACAACATGGTGAAACCCTGTCTCTACTAAAAATACAAAAATTAGCCAGGCATGATGGGTGCCTGTATTCGCAGCTACTTGGGAGGTTGAGGCAGGAGAATCACTCGAACCCGGGAGGCAGAGGTTGCAGTGAGCTGAGACTACACCGCTGCGCTCCAGCCTGGGTGACAGAGTGAGACTCAAAAAAAGAAAAGAAAAAGAAATGCTTATTTTGTAGGGTAAGTGGAAGGATCAGAGTTAATGGCTGTGAAGTTTCTGGACCTTACACACAGCAGGCTCTCACTGCAGGAATTGTCTTGTTTTCGGTAGTTACTAGGAACCCTGGAGCTAATTGTCTTGTTTTCTGTAGGGCAGGTTATTAGGAGCTCCTCAGATGGACTCCAGTATTTGAGTTAGTGGTGTGAAGTGACTTTACTCATGAGTGATGGCAGGGATTCGGGGCAGAGGGCACCACTGGCTCTCAGAATGCAGCACCTCAGCTCCTGTGTCCTCTGGCACTAGAGAAGCCAGTAAGGGATGAAGGCATTTCTTAGTATTTCTTGGGGGAAGCCATGCAGACTTCTCTAATGTTGAGAGCAGAGGTGGAGTTGGTGGGCCAGGGAGAGTCGTTGGGAAGGACTAACTTGGTGGTTTCCCAGAGGAATCCAAGAGCGGGAGAACTCTTGGCGCATTGGCCCTGGGAGAGAGTAGCAGGAGTTTCCGTAAATGTGTTGCAGTTGGGTTAGGGCAGACAGCCTGGCTTCCAGAAAACCTGCCTCCTTTGCATTGCCCAGGACAGAGCAGGTTTGGGACAGAAGCTTCAGAGTGACTTGCTGGGACCGTGGCCAGTCACTGCATTCTCTGGGCAGCTTGCCTTTCTTTGCCATAGCAGACTGATCCTCCCTCTTGCCTCTAGGCAGCCTGAGGAGAAAGGAGAAAAAGCAGTTCTTGGCCTAGGGCAGGGCAGGGCAGATGCCAGGGTCTGTTAGACACTGACTGCTGAGCTTTCCGCTAAGTTCTTTACACACGCAATTGAAAATGAGGGCAAATTCCATCAGATCTGCCTGCCCTGCTTGCTTTGGGTTGCTTTTTAAACTCCCTCTCCCAAGCTTTTTCTGTGAAGCTGAAGGCCATGGTAGCTGAAGGCCTCGCCGCTGAACACTGGAACTTAGCCGTCACTGGCTACTTTATAGATAACTTTCATAGGTCACCGTGGTGATGGTCACTTCAGTTGTTTTTCAGAAATTTGACCAGCTCCTGTCCAGTTCAAACTAGTTGAGACCCGTGTCTTTCACCCCAGACCTCCCAAGTGCTCAACGGGTGGCCTTTTGATGTCAGAGAGCTGACAACCCCACCCTCAGCTCTGCAAATGCTGCCATTTTCGGCACATGCGCCCTATCAAGTGCCGTGAAACCTGACTACCCGTGCTCAGGGGAAACCTGTTGCTTTATTTTTTTTCCCACTGCCAATCACCTTTCCCCACAATTTAGATCATCCCACTTCCCTAACCTGTAAAGATCCTTCAATCTTATCCTCAGGGGTTGATTTTGCGAGCTGTTCTCCCGACTCCTTGTGTATTGCCCTTACACATAAATCTTATCTCTTTTGCAAAACCCATGTCACCATGATATATTCACTGTGCAGAGGCAGAATGAACCCGGACCTGGCCAATCTCACTTATGGTTAGGAGTGAGTCAGGGATTGTGGCATTTACAGTCGAGAACACAAAGGCTCAAAGAGAAGATGGAAGATTCATTCGAACTAGGTAAAAACCAAAGAAGCAAAGCACATAAAAATCGTGTCATCTTGAAGCTGGACAAAATCATGTTTAACATCTTACTCTATTTTTCTACAGTTTTACTTTGTGAATATACGTAGGATGTACATGCCACGTCTTCTATTTGAATATGCAAGATATCCATGGATGCTTTATAAAATTAGGTCCAGAACGTTGCATTATCTTTTTTCTTTAGTTACATGTTAACAAAAGCATTCTTCTCTGCCTTTAGCCTTTGAAATAGTTCAGTGGCTGTATTTCGTTGTGTGGATACTTAATAACTTTTTATTATTTAATTCCTTTATTCTAGAGCATTTAGGTTACACTGTTGTTTACAATTCGGTTTTTTCTCTTTTGAGGTAAAATTTAGCCGTCGAAAATGCACAAATCTTAAGTGTCCCATTTGATGAGGTTCTTTTTTTTTTTGAGTCAGAGTTCCGCTCTGTCACCTGGGCTGGAGTGCAGTGGTACAGTCTCAGCTCACTGCACTCTTCTGGGTTCAGGTGATTCTCCTGCCTCAGCCTCCGAGTAGCTGAAACTACAGGCGCCCGCCACATGCCTAGCTAATTTTTGTATTTTTGGAGGAGGTGGGATTTTACCATGTTGGCCAGGCTGGTCTCAAACTCCTGATCTCAAGTGATCCACCCAGCTCAGCCTCCCAAAAGTGCTGGGATTACAGGTGTGTGCCACCAGACTGGGCCCATTTGATTAGTTTTTGCAAATGCATACACCTCTGTAATTCAAACCTCTAGCAAGATATATAGACTTGCATTGGGGTTTTCAATGTTAAAACTCATAACAATACTTCAAATAATGTCGTCACAAATCTTTGTGCAGGCAACAATTGTACCCCTTTGGGT